CACTCACTCACACTCACTCACACTCACACTCACACTCTCACTCTCACTCACACTCACATTCTCACTCTCACTCACTCACTCACTCACTCACACTCACTCAGGACCCCAATGCGTCTGGATCTCTAGACTAGACTTTCTGCTTGTAGACTTCACACACACACAGTTTGGGGTCTCTTGCCGGGCTAGTACGCGCCTACTTAATCAAATAAGAAATTGTTCGCTACTGAAGCTACTGCCTACTGGATGCAGGGGTGCTTCCTTGAAGAAGCGCTCACACTATTCATTTGGTTCCGATATTATTTAGAACTTGTTGCAACCGCCGTGCGCGCAAGCAGATGTTGTGCTGAGGTAAGCGTTGGCCACGATGAAGCCGTTTCCTTCTTGGTGATGAACTCTTCAGAGAGCTTTTTTTTCGGACTGATGTAGCATTAGGGCCATTTGCCTTTCCGGGCTTGTTATTTTCGCAGATTCAGCGTCAGGGAAATTTCAGGTATTTTCCATCAGCCCTTTGCGAACCGCAAGGTGATTTAAGCGTCCCTTTGGTTTGCTTGGTCTTCCAACCGTGGCAAGTACAGTTGCTGAAGGCTGCCTTTTACTTTCCGAATTTGCGCCTTTCGGACGTCCTTTTGGGGTCACAATAGGCTGCTTTTGTGTGGCTTGTCATCAGAGATGACAGCTCACAGCCTGCTGCCCAAGAATGATGCAGCATGCGTGACTTTGTCGCCTATGTCAAAAGCCAGGATTTGCACGGGGCCAGTATGTTTTTGAAGATTGGGGAAAGGATGTGCAGCGGGCACACCTGGCTGGCAATATGTATGGAAAGCCCACTTGAGGGAACTTTACTTTTCTTTCTCTATGTTTTCCCTTTTTCTACTTTTCCATACTTTGCTGACCATTCTCCGCCTTCCGTGACCTTTAGTTACAACTTTAGTTCCACCTTTCTTTGTATATCCTTCTCTGTTTTCTTGACTTTCTCGACCCCTATCCGGTTATATGTATATATATATGTATCAGTCTCTTGATTCTTCCCACGCGTGTTCTTCTCAATAGACATGTTCCTCAAAATAGTAGCGCTTCCAGGCCTTGGACTTTGGCTGCCAATACGAATGAACATGAAAAATAGACAGTTTACTTTTGAGGTTTGGGAAACATTGTTTCTGTGGCTTGTTCCGAGTCTGTTTGAGCAGCTTGGCTCTGGGGCTTGCGTCATTTGTCTGAGTGTGTGTGAACATGACACCACACTTGTACACATGGCCGTAAAGGAAAAAGGTCCGGTCATTTGAGCTCGTGCCATTTTGCATGGTAACGGAGCCACAGGGGGGGCTCATAAAAGATCCCCCGGCGACGAAAGGATCCAGGGAAAGAGAGGCCAGAAGGGAAGCCAAAGAAAGGAGGAAGAAGATAAGAGAAAGGAGAAAGAAAAGAAAGGGAGGGAAGCGGCCGGGAGGCCATTCAGGCCCTCAAGGAGACGAAAGAAACGAGTGAGTGAGTGGAAGGTGAAGGCTTCGCTACGGAAGGCTGTGAAAGCTCCAGAGCCGCTGAGATGAGAAAGAGCTCAGCATGGTGGAAGGATCAGAAGATCCAATGAGCATGTCAGCAATGACAGAAGACGAGAAGAGAAGGTCAGAGACGCTCTATGCCATCTTGGTGAGCGTCTTGAAGAACAGGCCACTGAAGCTCCTTCCAGAAGTCGAAGGAAAGAATGGCTTCGAGGTGTGGCGGCAACTGTCTACGCAGCTGACAGCGAAGACACATGCGAGGGTAGTAGTAGTAGTAGTAGTAGTAGTAGTAGTAGTAGTAGTAGTAGT